CCACTATCTGAGGAGGACTGCCCAGCCTGGGTAATTGGCCTTCCTCTCACGCCCATGTGGGTCAGTGCACTGGCTGCTTCCTATAGAAAGGTGGTTCCTGTCATCCCAGGAGGAGGCTGCCTGTTCCCTGAAGACTCAGCAAGTCTGCTGGGCAGCCCTTGGAAACAGGACTGTCACCAGTAAGGAGACTGAGGCTTGCAGGAACAAAGTGCCTTTCTTGGGGTTCATGACTGGTGAGAGGTCCAGCTAGCTCCAGCACATGGCTCATCGCCCCCATCAGTACTGCTGGCCTTGGCCTCCAAACCAACCCACTGCCATCAAGTCGATTCCAACTCACAGTGACCCCAGTTGGGTTTCCAAGGCAGTAAATCTTTACAGAAGTAGATTGCCCACTCTTCCTTCTGTGGAGCGGCTGGTGAGTTTGAACCACCAGCCTTCGGGTTAGCAGTCCAGTGCCTTAGGCACTATACCACCAGAGCTCTTGCCTTGGCCTCAGGAGCCTTGGAGTCATCCACCAACACAGCATCTGTGGGACAGCCCTCATGTGATGGCTTCCCCTAGAGAACCATCAAAAATTGTGCTGTCCACCATGGACCTGGCCTGTCTCAGGTTGCATGAGCCCCGCTTGGCTTAGCCTTGTCTCCTAAGTGCTTGCACCTTTGTGCCAGGCACCAGCAAGGCTTCCACGGCTCATCTCCCTGTGACCTCCCTTCAGTAGGCTTGCCTAGCACAGATGCTGCAGAGCTTTGCAGGGGACACAGCAGATCCTGAGGTTTCATTCACTGCTCATGCTTTCATTCATTCAACGAGACTTACTGACTTCCAGTTAAAGATGGCAGGTTGAATGTATGCATTATTTAGATTCTGCCTTGAACTCTTGGTGAAGTAACAGAGAAAGAATTTTTTTAAGGCAAAAACCCACAAGGACAAAGAAACAAAAGGAACAACAGTGTTTTGGAAACTTGAAAACATATGGGCAAGTGGTGGGACACTAACTTGGCCAACCAAGGAAAGGTAGACCCTAAGCATGCAGAGGAAACAGCTGAGAAGCTGTGTTGTTGTTTGGTGCCATCAAGTCGACTCTGACTCACAACCACCCTGTGTACAACAGAACGAAACACTGCCCTGTTGGGCTCCATCCTGAAGATCCTTGTTCTACGTGAGCCCATCATTGCAGCCACTGTGTCAGTCCATCTCATTGAGAGTCTTTCCCTTGCTGACTCTACATGCTTTACCAAACATGACATCCTTCTCCAGGCTCCAGGGCGTGGGCCCTTCTAACAGTGTAACCAAAGTAGATGAGACAAAGTCCAGCCATTCTCACTTCCAAGGAGCATTCTGGCTGTACTTCTTCCAGGACAGATTTGTTCATTCTTCTGGCAGTCTGTGATATTTTCAGTATTCTTCGCCGACACTACAGCTCAAAATCATCAACTCTTTGGTCTTTCTGATTCATTGTCCAGCTTTCACATGCATTATGAGAACTGACAGTGCCATGGCCTGGATTCGGCACACCTTAGTCTTCAAAAAGACATCTTTGCTCTGTAGCATTTATGAAGAGGCCTTTTGTAGATTTGTCCAGTGCAGTGCGACATCTGATGTCTTGACTGCTGCTTCCATGGGTGTTGATTGTGGAACCAAGTAATATGAAATCTTGGACAACTTCAGTCTTTTCTCCATTTATTGTGATGCTGCTTATTGGTCCAGTTTTGAGGATTTTCATTTTCTTTATGTTGAGATGTAATCCACACTGCAGACTATAGTCTGTAATCTTCATCACTAAGTACTTCAAGTCATCTTCATTTTCAGCAAGCAAGGTTGTGTCGTCAGCATATCACAGGTTATTAATGAGTCTTCCTCCAATCCTGATGCTGCATTCTTCTTTGTGTGTGTGTGTGTGTGTGTGATTTGGGTGAAAGTTTACAGAGAAAATTCACTTTCCATACAGCAGTTCACATACACTTTTGTCATGACATTGACTGCAATTTACCCCAGTGCAACAGCTCCCCTCCCAGTTCCTCCCCATAGTTACCTCTTCCCTGTGTCTTTCCCTCCATGCACTCCTGCCCCCTGAGCTGTCTCCCTGTGCGTATACAGCCCTTCTTTCTCCCATGATTGTTCTCTCCAAGGAGTGTATCTACCTAGTTTAAATGTTCAATTCATATGCCTGCCTTTAGTTTGGCCGGAAGCCACAGGGGTGGGTTCAATTCTAGACCTGAAGGGCAGCTCAGGGCCTTAGTCTCAATGGTTCCACCAGTCTCTATCAGACCAGCAAACCTGGTCTTTTTTTTTTTTTTCTCAAATGATTTTGAGTTTTGTTCCACATTGTTCTCTGTTCTCCCACTCTATCTAGGATCTCCTGCGTAGATCCCCCTCCAAGTGGTTGCCAGGCATCATCTAGTTCTTCTGGTCTAATAGTCGTATAGGCTGAGGATCGCATGATATACCAGTTGCTTGGACTGTTTCCATGAATCTTTGGTTTTCTTCATTCTTCTCGGCTCTGGACGGGCACCATCTAGTTCTTCTGGTCTCATAGTCGAATAGGCTGAGGATCGCATGGTGTACCAGTCGCTTGGACTAACCATTTCCATCAAGCTTTGGTTTGTTCATTCTTCTTTGCTCTGGATGAGGAGAGACCCATCATTGCATCTAAATGGCTGCTTCCAAGCTTTTAAGATCCCGGCCACTACTTGCCATAGTAGGATGTGGAACAATGTTTTGTATAATATGTTACACCAGTTGAGCTTGATGTCCCCTGCGACTGTGGTCCTGAGCCCCCAGGTCCAACTACTCATTCCCTCTGGGTAGCTGGCTATGGCCAAGAAGTGACTACAACCTTGTCTCTGGTCGGCTCTACCGTATACCTGGGAATTCTTACAGAACATAACAATATATTTGTAGAAACATTGTTTACCAACCCTATACATGCCAACTCTCTGCATAGACATACCTAATAGTTCAACCTGTCCACCCATCTATCCACCTATAGATCAATGTTTGCCTTCACTGACTACCCAGTACTGTATGTATAAAAGGGTTCATCTATGTTGTCTGTATCTCCCATGTACCTCTCTATGTCTTCCTCTTCTTCAGTGCCACTGTGTAGATCACTCACATTTGGTACATTCCCCTTTTCTTCACCCAAATCAGTACTTGTCTCTACATATCTAACAGTGTTCCCTACCTTCCCCTCCCACCCCTGGTAACCAACAAAGAAAATTTCCTTCCATATATAAACCTTTCCTTGACTTTTTATAATAACAGACTTATACAATATTTGTCCTTCTTTGATTGACTTATTTCATTCAGCATAATGTCCTCTAAGTTCATCCACATTATGTGGTGTTTTGCAGATTTTACGTTATTCTTTAGGGTTGCATAGTATTCCATTGTGTGTATGTACCGTAGTTTGGTTATCCATACCTCAGTTGATGGACATCTAGGTTGTTTCCATCTTTTGGCTATTGTAAACAGTGCTGCGGTGTACATGGGTATGCA